TTGGTCGATATTCTATACAATCCGATATCTCGTTTCATTCGTTTCTATTTTCTAGAAATTCAATTAAAGTGTGTCTAATTAAATTCGGCAATAATTGTATTAATTATAAATTTTCTCTACTATTTTTCTCTACGCTCTGGTCAACATTAAAAATAACCACCTATCGGATCTTGTGCAACGAACCACCCACGTTCCAGTCTCACGTTACGATCGCGTATCTCTTTTAATACGGCTCGCAGTGATTCAGTAAGAGGGTACTATGTGAAATTTTTCGAATTTTCAACCAACGACGTTGCTATTGACGAAAATAACCATTCTCTCCTGGTAACGAAACAACTGGCACTCGTGCAAATCTCATTCATTATGCAAAAAATAGGCCGATTCTTATGATTCGTCTAACGATTTCGGTACATTGGAAATTTTGAGAAAAAATAAGTTCTTTTTGTTACTGTAAAATTGTAAACTATTTGATAAAATCAGATCTATTAATACGACTAAAGAAGTCTATTTAATATCAATTTATTATTGATACTAAAATTCGATAAAAATTAACTAACATTTCTCTTATGTCTGAAAATAAAATATTTTTATTAACTAAAAGCTGTATTCTATTAATAATACTTACTACATTTTATGAATATATTTTTGGAAATATTTGGAAATATGTAATACATTATATGTTGCTAATAATTTTTAATAATTGATGGAACTGTAAATTTCTGGATTAAGATCAAACTAACTTCTTGTAATTCTTACATACAATTCTTTTAATTCTCATACTTGTTATTATTCCTATTATTCTTATAATTCTTATAATTTTCAGAATTCTTGCAACTTTTATAATTCTTATAATTTTCAAGCTTCTTGCAATTTTTATAATTCTTATAATTTTCAAGATTCTTGCAATTTTTATAATTCTTATAGTTTGGATAAGTCTTACAATTCTTATTATTCTTAACATTCTTATCATTCTTTTTATTTCTACAATTCTTACCATTTCATCTTATTATTCTTATAATTCTTATAATTTTCCGGATTCTTGCCATTTTTATAATTTTTATAATTTTCAAAATTCTTGCAATGTTTATAATTCTTATAATTCTTATAGTTTGGATAATTCTTACAATTCTTATTATTCTTAACATTCTTATCATTCTTTTTACTTCTACAATTCTTACCATTTTTGTATATTTTACATCTACTCGATAATTCCCCGCTAACGGGGCTCTATACATATAACAGCTGTATCTTTTTTGTTGGCCTACCACATAGAATGTGATGCATATGTGAGTGTGTTCGAGTACGCAACGTTCCCATCAGGGAATTATTATAAAAGGACCAATTTAATAGACTGCGTAAAATTAATATTAAAATTCTTTTTCTTCTGTATAACTAAATAATTCGTCATATTAATGCAAAGCAATGAATTTCATAGTCAATTATTTTTATTATTGTGATTTCAAAATTATCCTTAATAAATTAACTTCAATTCACTTTTCGATAATGTGAAGTGGGGTAAGTGCAGACTGGTTTCTATAAAGTTGGTATTTAAACGTAACTATTTTCAGCTATGTAAATACTTAGTCAGCTATGTAAATACTTAACGCTGTCCATATCGAACGGTTTGCACAATTACTACTATTTAATTAATATTAACTAGGACCTTAATTTTCCTTGTACATTTTGATTTTGATAGGAAATTGTTTAAAATGTCAACTACTTTGCACTTTCCCCGAAAATGGGGTAAGAGCGTAACTTGAAGTTAAATACTTTGAAACTTTATTTTATGTACAATGGGCCAAGTGCAGAATTATTAACAAATCTGCTATAAAATGCTTTTTACTGCATTATGCAAGTATTATATACTGCAAACGAGTACTCTTAGCTGAAATATAAAAGGGGATATAGTGAAACAAAACAAGGAAACGAACATACTAAATGGAGAAATTTCGCTCATATTGTAATAAAAGTGGCCTGTATACTGTATACACACTTGTCCCGTTTACGAACTTACCCCACTTCACCTTACTATAAATGATATAACTATGATTCACCAAAATTCAGTACAACAGCAACAGTACTATTTGGTTATTTTATAAACAGATATAAGAAAAGTAGTACAGTGGTATAACAAAATGCAGTAACAATTCGGTCTGAATCATCTTCAAAATGTGCTTGTAACACATTTACACTCTTTGGTGAACTTATATTTATTCTAAAACTGCATAAAGCCACTCTAGACTAGTTTTCAGCATTACTCAAATTGCATTAATGCTACAGACGATAGCTAAATGTAATGGTGGGTGTAGAAATATCATTCGAGGTCCACTAAAAACGAATATCCCTAGGAAAGTAAAAGTTTTGTATAATAGCGTTGATAATAGAGTCGCGTAATTCAAAGCCTATGGACATAAAAGGAGACTATTATCAAGCTTTAAACTTGACCGAACGAAAGTATTTCGATCGAGAGCTGAAACAGATAACAAGATCGGAGCTCGAAACTGCTTCCATGCCCCCGGAGAGACATCGATGGTTATTATGAGCAACACCATGGGGACTCGTAATACAGGGTGTCTCACAACTCGTGTAGGTCCCTGAAATGGGGGGTAGGTGACGTGATTCTAAGCAACATTTTCCTTTGCAAAAATCGGGTTTGAAGCGTCGTTTTCGAGTTATTAACGAAAAACACGGACCAATCAGAGCGCCGGGATTACGCGCGCCGAGAAGCGAGAGCGAAAGCTTCGAGCCGGTCGCCGGAGTGCGAGCGCGATCAACTGAGTTTTCCTCGGAACTGTCTTAACGTCTAATAAGAAGTCTTTACATCGAAACTCAGTTAAATAACAAACAGAATAATTAAAAGTAATGTTCATTTATTCATTCCTCATGAAGGAGGATCAGAATTAGTTATGTGTAATTGACATAAAGTATGCAAATGGAATTTATTGAATACTGCAATTCGTTATCGACAAGGAATGTGACATTAA